GTTTGCTATGGAGCACAATTAAATCAAACCCTAGCTATTCCATTTAATTTGGGTTATTAGTTTGCTATTATATACAATTTTCCCTTATATATACTTCTTAAAGAAGGATAATATTACTGCGAGTCTGAATAAGTCAAGATCAAAAACAAATACTCTTAATAAAATTATATAGTTGATGTGTAAAATAAGTTACTTTTATGATGTGTCAAGTTGAATATAATTAAATAAATATAATCTCAAGAAGAGAAATCAACCTACGCTTTTGAATTGAGGCTATTAGCTACGTAGAATGAACTAATCCACGATTATAAATTTTTCGATTAAGCTAGCTCATGCGACCAAATATGAGAAAAGACATGAAATATCAACTATATGCTATTAAGCTTGTTCGAATGGTTGTAACGTATCGTAAAATAAATGGTTATTGCGTATAATATAACTCATGTCCAAAAACTAAGAAATTAATTTATTTCTCTAAAAAAAAAAATCCTTTGTACCAAATGACTTTCCACAAAGCAAATTATAACATATTGTATAGGATATATCAATAAAAGGAAAATTGTAATTAATTAATTTTCAACTAATATTTTACAATATACATATAGTTGTTTTAATCTCTATACCAAAATTTTGGGCACATTGCTATGATTAATTTTATTTACAAACTAACAACAACACTCTATTATTTCATTACTAACAATTGTCTCTTTTAATGGCTTAATGTTGATAACAACATTATTTTGACTACTTAAATTATCTTTATTGTCACTTAATTTATTTTCATTATTTGACAATATTTTTTTTGGTGATATTATTGCTTGTTCATCTTTTGATGGAGATAATATTTTATGATCCTTGCTTTTACCCCACAAGATTATGTAAAGGCCTATAATAATCACCACAACACCAAGTATCCTGCAAAAATTTTAAAAAAAAATCAAAGAATTAATTATATAATAATTATGCATTTTTTTTGTTTTTGTAATTAAAATTCATTAGCTCAAAATTATTTCTTTTAGGTGTTGAAGTTGATTTTATGGGGGTTGAATTTGATGATAAATATAGTTAGTCTTTGATAATAAGTTAAAAGAAGAATAGTTAACCTAAATAGCTTTTCACCGACTTGTTTAAAAGTTTAAACTAAAAATAATTGATTCTTGAAGAAAAAAAAGGTTTTGATAAACATATTTATTTTGGTTTCCAAAATTATAGACCTTATAAATTATATATTTACAAAAAAATGTATATTTCAAAGAATTTTTATATTATTTTTTAAAAAAACAATAATTATATATATTCAATGTAATTTCACATGTGGAATCAGAGAAAGATAGAATATACATAAACCTTATTAAACTCCTGTAACTTTCTAAGATAGAGAAACTGTTACTGATAGATCATCAGCTAAAAAATGAGTATAAATGACTGAAATAGAATAAGGAGATGATTAAAACTAACATCTTATGAATCGAAAATTACAAAAGATGTTAAAAATAAAATCGTAAAAAATTTAATCAAATTAAAAGTGTTTATAAATCGAATTTACGTACCTTCCAAGGTTCATTTGTTCTTGTAGAATAATTGAACTTATTATAGCTACGATTAATATGTTTAATGGATTGAAGGCTGAGATAAATAGAGAGCTCCTATCTTCCAATATTACTCCTTGTATATAATATGCTAGTCCAGAACCAAATATTCCCTGAATATTTTCAGACATTTTTTATAATAACATTTCATTATAATAATTTATTTTTTTGAAATAATTTTTTATGTTAACTACCTATAGTAAATCGAGATAATGATTAAAAATACATTTAAAATATTACGAATTTCACATTTCAATTGTTATTTATTCACTTTTTCTATCTGAACTATCACTATTAATTTAGCTGTTTCAATTTTTCCTACATGAACAATGTTAATAATTCATATAAGAAAAGAGGATTAACGAATAATTGAGGTGTGTAAAATCACCACTAGAAACAAAGACTTATCCTATCGTAAATCAATGAAAAATTTGTGTTATAAAATAAAATTTTCTTCATCCATTTTCTATCGAACCAACTCACTGGAAAAACACATAATGAGGAATAATTCTCATTATAATACCGAAAAGCTTTCTAATTTTTCGATATGGAACACTATAATTTTCTTTTCAGATTCAATCAAAATATCAACATACACAGACACTGAACATTTTTTAATAGATAAACAATGGTTTCTTGATAGCGAATGTATAGATGACGATAATTTAAGTAGAAAAAAGAATAACTGGTAGTTGAAATATAAAGCCCGTAATAAAATAAAAATTTAAATATGTTTTTGATAATTATCTCGATCTAGCTAATATATATTCTTTTAAACCAAAAAACAACAATAAAGTTTGAGTACTTACACTGTATACAACAGCAAGAAATTTGGAGTCCAAATTTATTATCCAAACTGCACTATTCCCTCTTTCCATTATCATTGCTATAATACCTCCCTCAACTGTTCCCAACAAGCATATCCAAGTATGTAGTGAGAGCTCTGCTGGATATGTCTGCAGTATCTTTGTCTACGAAAATCGAGAATATACGGTCAGATCTTTCTGTAACACCCATTCTTTATAATAACGTTTTCGTATAACGATCAATTTATACATCTCTATCTACAACTCGAGAATCATAACACAGACAGATTTCTCTGTTACAGTCGTTTTCTATAATAATATTTCATTATAACAATCAATTTATGAATTTCGTCATAAACTTATGACACATCTTTGTCCGCGTACAACTTGAGAATGTACAACCAGATCTTTCTGTAACAATCATTCTCTATAATAACGTTGCAATTCTAACAATTAATTTATGAATTTCGTCATAAATTGTGATAGACATCTTTGTCTACGACTCAAGATTATACGGCCAAATTTCTATGTAACAATGGTTCTTCTATAATTATATTTCATTATAACAAACACTTTATGAATTTCGTCGTAAATTGTGACAAACACCTTTGTCTACGACACGAGAATATACAATTAGATCTACATGTAATAGTCATTCTCTATAATAACATTTCATTATATTATACCTGGTAAATTATGAAGGCGGCCCCACTAGTACACCCAAGCATTATCATTAGGGAACCTTTGATAGCATCATTAAGAATAATCCCACCACTAATTTGATCAGATGCATCATTATTATTCACATAATATTCATTTGTTGGAAATAGTTGAACCTCTGGGCCTCTAACTAACATCATAATCATGGCTCCACCAAATGTAGCAATAGTCCCAATTATTTTGGCTTGGCTCCCAATACTTGTAAACTTCACCTTCTCTTGCCTAGGGCACACGATAATAACAATATAGTCAGTATAATTCAATAATTTATAGGATATAAAAAGAGTGACGTGTAGGCATCCTTACTCCTACATTCTGAAGGTAGATCGGAGAGATCAATTATTTTCGATAGACGCTTGGCTTAAGTGAAGCATACAGAAAACACTATTACTAGAAAATATGAAATTAGCTATGGAATTTGTAGACCACCTATCTATTATCCTTCACTACAAGAAAACTATGAATTACATGGGGATTAGTATGAAAATTTGCGAAAAGTTTATTTTCCTACAAACTTTTATACTAATTCCCAGGAAAATTCCATGTAATTTACACGGTTTTCTTGTAGTGCTTCTATCCATATACCTGACTTTCATATCCTCCTATCTAGGGTCATGTCTTCGACCAACAAATTTATCGCCAATATAGAATAAAGTTTGTATATACTCTATCCTACGTAAAATCAATTTTTTCGATAAGATTTTCAGTTCATCTAAACCAAAATTAATCAGATAATATATTGCATGTATATTCTAATTAATTACCTGAATATCCAAGACATTATGAAAGTAATGGCAGGAAGAGTGTTGTACATTGCAGCTGCAAATGTTGCTGTTGTATATTTCAAGCCAAGAGAATATAGATTTTGGTCTATCACTGGCCTGTTCATAGACAAAAAAAAAACAATGTTATAATTTTATTATTTTTGGATGAAAACTATAAGTGGACTACAAAATCAATTCTTTCTATTAATAAAATTATTGCACTAGTAAAATAAAATAAAGTTTTTGAGACTTACTCTAATATACTAAGAAGTACCAACTTGGCAAATATTGAAAAAGTCATCTTTGGTCTTTTCCCCCTGTTGTAAGAGACATTCAACTTGTTAATCATTTGTGTATTTTGAGTGGCTAATCATACATATTAGTTCTTCAACATATATACACATATTTATTCAAGAGGTTTTATTTTTAAAAAATTATAGGGGATCGAATGATCTCCTATTTGTTTATCGTTAGTATAAATAATTTTTTAATCTATCAAGTTGCCAAGGAAAATTGATGTTATATCTAACAAGTAAAAATAATCAGATGATTTGAGACTTTAATTTATTTACATTTTTAAATCTTTTTTGTAAATGTTTTGGGTAAATTCACTTAAACGCAATATTAATTTGCAGACCACATAGAAGATGTAAAATTATACTAGACAAATCGAGTGCGATGAGTTTGAATGAAAAGGTGTTGACAAGAGGAATCAATCCCTAGCCTCCCTTTTGGGATATCACATGTCACACCAACTCAGCCAAAAGCTCAAAAACTACGTAGAAGATGTAAATCACACTCGGCAAGCCCAGTGTAACGAGCTCGGCTAAGAAGACATTGACAGGGGGATCGATCCCTACCTAGCTTTCCTTACAGGATACCATCTGCTACACCAACTCAGTCAAAAGCTCGCAAAATTATACATGAAATGTAAACAACACTAGGCAAGCCCGGTGCGACGAGTTAAACTGCGAAGGCGTTTGCAGAGGGAATCGATCCCTAACCTGTGCTACGAAATCCCACATGCTACACCAACTCAATCAATATCTCACAAATGACATATAAGGTGTAAACCGCACCAATCAAGCTCGGTGCGACGAGCTCAACTGAGAAGGCGTTGGCAAAGGGAATCGATCCCTAACCTCTATTATGAGATGCCACGTACTACACCAACTCAATCAATAGCTCACAAATTACACCTAACAAGCAAAGCGCACCGGTATGACAAACTCGACTAAGAAGGTCTTGATCGGGAAATCGATCTCTGACTTCTCTTATGAGATACCACCTACTACACCAACTCAGCGACCCTCGAGTTTATAGAAATGAAATTGCAAACACATTAATTGAACATTGAAGAAGAGAGAAAGAGGATCTACTTGTCTAGAATAATTGCAAATGGAGCCATGAAAAGAGTTGCAACAGCTTGTCGATATACAACATATACATAATTGCTAGATCCTTCATTCAAGGCCATTTTTGAAAGGATATACATTCCTGAAAGACCTAATTGGAGAAATACAACAGCAAAAAAGGGTTTTGCTCTGATTAATACTTCTTTCATTATAATAATTATTAAGATTTCAAGTTTTAATCAACTTGCACAATGTATATATGTTATTCAATATATATACATATTGAATACTTCTTCTAACTATATATCTATTTTCTGACTTGCACAAAATCTTTATGATTTTATTTATGTGTTCAATATTTTATTATTTGTAAGACTTTACACTTTCTACAAAATTGTATTATAATTTGTTCACACACATTTTTGTATTTATTTTAAAACAAAATTAGGGGCGGTGGAAAGGAAAATGGGAAAGGGGATTACGGTTCTATGGAAATTAAAATTCGAGACTCTTTTAGAATTGTGAGTTTCTAGTATAACTTACGATTTTCTTTAAAATTCATTTTTTAGTTCGTTCATGTAGTTAATCAATCGAGCTACTAAAAATTTCCAAATTCAGGTAGTTAATCAATCAAGCGATTAAGAATTTCCAACTCCTACGACTTCAAATGAAAAGGCATGTCTCATTTGGAAATTTGAACTAATTTTTGGCTGAATTTCAATCATAATTTGTTGAAGTTTAAAATTACAGTTGAATTGTATCACATTTATATCAAAAAATTGTATACTGAATTTGTATGAAAATTATATTTTAGGTTTGCATATTGATGTATTAAATCTATATGAATATTGTATACAAAATTGTAATAAGTACTTTTTTAAATCATAACAAATTTTCAAACTTTTTTATTTCTTCTTTTTCAAGCTTTGTATTCAGTCAAAAAATATTATATTAATTGGGATAATATAGAAGAAAAGTATTTTATTACCATGTGAAGTATCTATAATTAGTTATTAGTTTGTATTTTATTTTTTCTTTTGACAAGCTCAAATATTCTTGAATTAGTTTGGCACGTTCTAAAAAGTATCCTAAATTCTTTTAATATTCAAAAAGTATATTCTTATTTACATATAACAATTGTTCCTTTCTATGATCATATCTCATGGATATTAATTAATTCCTTATTTAGGAGTGTCAATGATACGATTTAGTCATTTTTTTGAAAAAATAAAATGTATATTATATTATTTTTAATTATTTTATTTCATATAATTAAAATTAGAATTTTTCAAATCTTTTTTTTTTGGTATTAGTATGATTAATTGTTCTAGAGCTAGGACATTGGATGTTAATTATACGTTGGTTTTAAATATATATAAAACCTTCTTAATTAATTTCTATGATTGTAAATCACTACTTAATTATTTGTTATTTATATTTCATAATTTACTTTTACTTTGACAATTGACATAGTAACTGAGCTAAAATAACAATTATTTTCTTTTTGACTCTATCCTTATTTAGATAAGTGAGTTTTTGCATAACAAAAAAACTTGCTAAATAAATAACTATATAATCAAAAGTAAGTTAATAAAATGATTGTTTTACATTTTAGGAATAAGTGAATTTCTCATTCAAAAATATGTACAAGCTAAAAATATCACTTCATATATATATATATTATTTATTTTTTGATCTAAGGGTGAACTCTTCCTTGAAAACAAAATATGTATAATGTCAACTAATAATAACATTATTATAGTATAATTGTATCAGTGTGACAATAACAACATATCCAAATATGCAATTATACAATCTCAAGAATTAAAGTGGGGTCTAAAATGAGTATAGTGTATAAATTGTATCTCTATTTTAGAGGCGAAGTAGAGAAGTTATTTAGATCAAATAGCTTTATAAAATTACGTACATTAATATTTTCACATATTATGAATCACGTAGGAGGTATCTCTATTTTTTCCCGGGGAAATTGCTTAACTTTCAATTCGTTAGTGGCCATCAAATGAAATGTGAATAAGTCCTCCTCTCTTTCAAAGTAGGGGCGCTTCTGGTTCTGTCGTTGCTTGAAACAATTATCTTTTCCATATAACTAAATCGTAATGATCATACTTATGTAGTGCACTGTATGTCCCATCCTTCTTCTCTTTCTTAAAAGTCGATGACTATTCATAGATATTATCTTGACACCAAAAAAAGAGTTCGATCCAATGCTTTATTTCTCTTCTAGTTGATCGTGATTCAATATTAAAAATATATTAATGTTGAAATAGACCCTTGACTCAAGACAAAAAACAATCTAGAAAAAAACGTAAAAATAAAAAGAAATATTTTCATGATCTTAGACAGATAATATCAACATGAATGATAAAAACAATATTTGTGTACTCATGAGTCATGATGGCTTAGCATGAATTGTATGTACTGTCAATTGGTTATATTTAATCAACAAATTTAATATTTTATGTGATTTCACATATCATTTTCTATCAATTTCATAAGAATATTTTGAAAAGATATAGTCAAATAAGATTTTGTGTTATTGAGCATGTGTTAGCAAATGTAAATTAACTAAACCATACCTTGCAAAATGATACTACTATATACTATATGTGATTTCTTTCAACTTTGACTATTATTATAATAATATAATATATAATATAGATTGAATATTTCCACTATACTGATTTTCTTTATGAATATAGAAAAAGATTTTTATGATCTCCTCAATCCATATGGAATTAATTTATGTCTATAAGAAGTGATCAAAGATGGTTAAGAACAAGAACAAATATAATATATATATATATATATATATATATATATATATATATATACACACACTAC